TTCCGAATGACCTAAGCGATTTAAACCGCAAATACGAGTAACAATAGCGATTGACCCAAACAGGAATTAGGTGAATCAACTCACGTGTGGTTTTTTATCCGTTCAAAAGTAATGCCAAGGTTTTAATTCCGTTATTGTAGATGTTACGTCATAACTGTTGACCTCGAGCCGTGCAGGGTATTGACTTTATAATTTGCTAAGTTTCTGCATCGTGGGTTCGCTCGCGTGTATAGCTAGTAAGTGATTCATAACACACACGCGTCTGATTTGTAACTTTTTTTCGTGTCTAAGAAGAGTAGTGGAGATTTATGGTGATTCTTTTCGGTTTTGTTAGATTACATTTTTTATGTTTGGGTGATTATTTTAGACATTTTTGGTAGATGTCTTTCAATATTTTGTGCGAAAGAATCTTTGGTTTAGCTAAACTGCTGAGAGAATTTCTTAATCAAAAATGTTGTTGAGTAGGCTAGTGTCTCGATTTTGGAAGAATTCTACTTTCATTAATTAATATTTTCGAAATGATTCGACAGCTTTTTTATGGCATAAGCCGTTAAACGAGCAGACGGATCACCTGATGATAAGAAATGGCGTACAAGTACATTACAGGCCTTTTGAGGATTTTTGGTGACTCGGGGATTGTGAAGATTCGGGATACCCCCCGTATTTGGGCCAGACCTCAGACGACGAAACACAATGCAAGCGTGGTTTCACGTCGATTTTCTATGAAGCCGTGGTATCACTCCGGTCGAGCCGGCCCATTTTTGCCGAAGCATGGCTCTCTCACACTTATGATAGATCTCAGTTCGTCAAAGATCCATATTTTTTAAATTCACCTTTTCCTCATTTCTTTCTGCTGTTGGGGTTTTCCTTGCTGTATTCCTTTGTTGATTTGTATACTGATCTCATTTACTGTACTCACTAATTATTTAAGCTACTGCAAGATGTTTATCTGTTGATTTAAGTCTCATAATAATAATAAGATGAAGATCGAAAATAAAAAAAAATAAAAAATATAAAATAAAAAATAAGATGAAGTTCGTAAATATAATTTTTCTTTTTCAATTGAGCCGTGATTGAAAAAACATAATGTAGTTTTTCTAAAGAATTTACAATTACATAATTTCATACACATGTACTTATATAAACCAAATAAGTTAACAATTTATTAGTCTCGCATTCTCGGAAAAGACAGTGACTCTGTGTAACAAAAACTTCAAACATAACATAACATCACGCCATTTATCCCCGAAGGGGTAGGCAGAGGTGCACATTATATATACTACTGTACAATGTAACACCCACTTTTCACTATTTATGTTATGAGTCCCATGTAATAGGGGGTGAGCCTATTGCCATATACCGGGCACAATTCCAGACTCCGTGCTACTACTGAGAATTATTTAAAAACCCAGTAATACTTTGCCCGACCCGGGAATCGAACCCGAGACCCCTTGCCCGGCAGTCGCACTTGCGACTACTTGGCCAACGAGGCAGTCCAGCAGGCAGCAAAAACTTCAAATATAACATTTCTCCATAAATATCAATACCATTTAAATTCAGAACCTGTAATACTATTTCGATACTCAGAAAATGAATTAATTTCCTCAGACAAATGGTCCCCTGGTAACTGATTCCGTTTATGCGGAGTAGCAATCAGTTAATCAGAGATGAAAGTTTAAACGCTTAACGTTTCTGCGTTCCTGGTACAATACACGGTTAAAACTACGATGTGGGTCAGTGAAAAGAAAATTAACATAGAACAATAGTTTAATGTTAACAATACTTACAATTATCTTCAATGAGGCGTAGAAGAAAAGTCGTTAAATTATTGAAGTCGAACTTTTTCTTCAAAACATAGTTAAAAATTGTAGTTAAAGTTATTTACTTGGTTTGTCGTAAAGCTGATTGAAATAAGAATATTGCGAGTTATGACTGTATGATTATTACTTGAGAGATTTTTTCAAATGCTATTAATATTAAATCTTTCAATGCTTTTATTACTTCACACCCACTCATTTCAAAATGTGCAGTACCGCTGAAGATAATACTAGACAAGCTTCAATTTTGGATATCGGGAAATTATTAATTGAATTTTTCACTTTGATTTCTTCTTAGTAGGCTTTTTAAGAGGTGTAAACGATACTTTGTAGAAGTTATTTTAGTACACCTCTGTGCAAATTGGTTTATTATATTGGTACACTTTGCATATAGACAAGCGTGTTCCATCATAAGCTGCATCATCGCTTATCACCAGGCGACATAGGCTAAACGTCGACCTATAAAATATAAAAAGAACTAAAAAAAAATGAAGCCGATCCCAAGGATACTGTTATAAAAAACTTTACCATATCAATATTATTGCATTCCATTTTATAATGTCCGTCAGTCTGAATAAATTGCTGAACGTCGGCAATTTACAAAGGAATGTCAGAGAACGGTTCCAGATCGGATTAAATGCATACTCGGCCGAGTGACATACTCGAGAGTGACAGGGTTGTCGAATTATTTTGAGGATATTTTGGAAAGAAGGAATAATTATATAGCTATTTAGATCGTGATAGCCAGAAAGTTAAGACGCTCGCTTCTCATGCATGAGGGTCCGAGTTCAAAATTGGCCTACCAACGGCAAGTACCAATGTGACGTTTTCCGAGTTATATGTACTTTCTAAGATTATTTAGACACCACTGAGAAACGGTGAAGGAAAACATCGTGAGAAAACCTGGAGGAACATTTTGATAATGCTTAAATCTCATGTGTAAGAACGGGCTTTGCTTACCAGTGGGCACTTATAGGCTGTTGATGTATGTATGTACTCTATTTAGGCTTCTTCCTCAGCCTTGGGTGTAGGTGGTAAGCTTTTTTCTATTATGTCATATATGACTTATGGGTTTGTTATGTTCCGTTTAGATTAAATTAGGAGAATCTGTAAGATCTTCTGGAACTGGAACAGATTTTGTCACTTTGGAAAGGTTGCCATCTTACATATGGACTTGGAAAAAAGTTTGTAATCTTGTAATTATTCAATTAAAACAAATATGTTGTCAAAATAATAAAATGTCGTACATGTCTCTTCAAAAATAATTATTTAATCTAAATATTTATACCAATGACGTCATGGTCATCCAGGAAGAATAAGCTTATGGAACTATACCTTAAGTCCAGTCCTAAGAGTACCGTTGACATTGGGATTAATACCAACATTCCGATCTACTGCGGTCTGTACTGTGGTAGTACACAGCAATACATCAAGCTATACAATCCATTTTATTATGATCTCGCCTTGTATGATCTTTCCGCACATTCAATGGTCAGTTTAAACTGGTTGTCTATATTTTATATAATGTCTTGTGTTAACCAACAACATGCATTGTAGTGTCAAGTTACATACTGCTAAGGAAATTATGTAGGTATTACATATTGTGCGGTTTATGTTGTGGATTTTTAAAAGAAAGTATGACGGATTTTTGGAATGGGACTATTAGTGGGTTAAGCCGGTAAACGAGTAAATGGATCACCTGACGGTAAGCAATCGGCGCTGCCCATAGATGTAAACACCAGAGGCGTCACAAGTGCGTTACCGGCCTTTTGGGGATAAGGAATTTGAGGATTGTTGATTTGATTATTGTGATAACAAAATTTATTAATATGTTGCAGCCAAAAAATCACCGACATGTTGATTTAAATATATTCGAACTACATCTTTTTATCATCAGTCTTCTTATCGTCATCAGACTTAGTCAAGTCAATATAATTTGAAAGCCGTAAAAGTCAGTACAACCAACAAACAATAATCACAAACAAACAATCGTAGAACAGAATAGGGAAAGTGGCAAAGTGCAGAAATGTATGGAGATGAAAAGTAAGACATGGAACATAGCTATATACATATACATAGCTTTTAATACAAGGTCAGTCGTGAGCTGTAAGGGAAGGGCATTCAAGTAGGAACTAGAAAGTTTGAAAACGTACTTGAGACACGATCGCCCATCAACGTAGCCATAAGCTGTCTAATATATTCAAAGAAATTTAGACAATATTTGCAAAACGATAATGTACAAAATCTACGGAATGTGTTTGACAGTAAGACTGTAAGTTGACCTGCTAGCCACTGTACTTACGGGACGATTGCACTTGAACGTAGCCATTAACTGTCAAAGTTTAAAGGAATTTGGACAATGTTAGCAAAACGATAAGGTTGATAATGTTTTTTGAGATAGCTTGATGTGCTGATGTTTTTATTTCTATGTAATGGATTTGCGTTTGTTTAGTTAGAATGCTAATTTAAAGTCAAAGGTAAGGGTCAAATAGTTTTGTTCTAGCTACTAACTTGAATGGTGGGAATGATAGTATTGGAAATTGTTATTATTTATTGCCTTGACCCTGCATTTCCACAATTCTACAAATTCAAACACAGCTTTATGAATCTATAGTATATTCAAACTTTTATCATGACTATCTTACTTTGATAAGTTATATTGTTGGTGAAACTGAAATTAAAATTGGTTCAACAATTTATTAGTATGTTTTGTCCAGAGACGCGATGGAATGCTTGACTTTTTATATTATCCTATAATAAACTATTGTCGAATTTCTACATTCTATTATTTTTAATTTTAATTGCAGGGAGATCGGACTATAGTATTATCTGTGTGTCGTTTACATGAAGTCACCAATTGGATCATAACAACTGGTGAAAGAAATAACGCCTCTGGTGTTCCAGGCAACGCCGATTGCTTACTATCAGGTGATCCGTCTGCTCGTCGTAAAAAAACGTCAAATCGGCTAAAAGAAACGAGATGAAATTTGAAACAAAGTTAGATTATAGTCTGCAATAACATACAGGCTACTTTTTATCGATAGAAGTAAGACAGCAGCCTTGTAGCCTATTTACAGAAATAAATTCACCTGATTGTTGACTTGTTTCACAAAAACGCGGGGGAAGCCGTTGGTAGAAGTACTATTGAAATTTTACTAACATTTTATTCCCTTCTTGTTTCAGAATCCCAACACGATGGACGGCTGCCAGTAATTGAGTGATAGTGAATGTATAAGTTATTGTAAAGACTGACTAGTGTTACCCAGTGTTCAAGTGTACGGTATATAAAATGGAGGTTAAAACGCACCTTCTAGCGTCTGCTGCACTCCTTATAATTGGTGAGTTTCAAATATTACTACTTTATCTTTGCCGACTGCATGGTTGGTGCGGTACCTAACCAACTAGCCAGTTGGTTAGCAGCAGCCGCTGCGCAACGTGTAGCTGGTTCGATTTTCGCACGGAGCATCTCTTTGTGTGTACAAATTGTTGGTTTTGGGTCTGGGAGTCATGTGTATGTGAATTTGTATATTTGTAAACGCACCCACGACCCAGGAGAGAATCCTAGTGTGATAGGTATGAAATCAGAATTTTCGGACCATAGTCCGAATGAACTTTCTGATTTCATATCCTGCCTGACTCGTGAGTAGAACAGGCAATAAGTTATTGTGTGTTTAAACCATTTTTGAATTGGGTTGGGAAGAACTGAGTCAGATTCCGGACAGCATATTTATTAATTATTATGTTTTCGGCTTACTCATGTAACTTTTTGAGAAACTCGACTAATTTCAAGCCACGCTAGGGGCTCATATTCATGAGCTGCATTCCGCGGACCGCGACGCGAATGTAACCCTCTAGAATGGCTTGAAACTAGTCGAGTTCCTCATCAAACAGTTACGTGACTAAGCCGAAATCATAATAATTAATTTAGCATGTCACGAAAGTTAAAATATAAGCATATTCATTACCTATACTAAATTTGAATAAGACTAATAACTATTGAAATGTAGGCCATATCACATTATACCAATATCTTCAGGAATAAACCGAAAAAACGTTACACCTGTGGTTATACAGAACCATTACCGTCTTCAATACTCGCATTATAACCACAACACCTAAAAAGCATCGAATAAATTGATTACAAACAGCCACTTCAGTATCTAGAACACTTTTTGCAAGCTGTGCCACAAATTTGATTACTGGGTGCTAAATATATCTGAACGATTCGTATGACTCATGATAAAAATGTGAAGAATTTTTTTAACTATTTTTGATTATTATGATAGACAGTTTAGACAGGTTTGATAGACATCTTTATTTTGGCTAGGTAAGAAATATTTAAGTATTTATCTAGGATAATGTGCAAGGCTATCTGCAGGTGAAGATCTAGCTTAGTTCAATGAATATACAAGTAGGTACCGAATGTCTTCAATTAGGTTTTTTGCGTGGGCTGACTTCTTCACGTGTATGGAAATATTCTGATAAACTAGTCCTATTCTATGGAAAACGTCTATCTAGGTATATTTCTTTAGCTGACATGTATTGGGAGTGAGCCTATTGTCACATTCTATGCATCAGGCTATATTGCGTGCGTCGCCATAGGATATTCCTGTTTGTGCCGCGTTCTGCGCGTGTCTCAAAGACCTATCAGACCATCATAGATAGTAGGGCCCAGTAGGACCGCGGACCACTCAACCAGGGCTCCGGCCCGAAGTAGGAGAAGGAATGGGGTGACTTTTAGTCATTAAAAATCTGATACTTCTCACCCAAGGCGGGAAAAATCATTGTATGTGTTTCATCCTCAAAAAAATATTGACCTAATTCGTTGACTAAATTAACTAAAAATCGCGGGTTACTCACGTGAATATACTGAGAAAAGCTCTACTAGTTTCGAACCACAAAGGGGTTCTTTCTCGTGAGCAGCGTGCGCGGTCGCGGCGATGTTGTAGAGCTTTTCTCAGTATATTCACGTGAGTAACCCGCGATTTTTAGTTAATTTAGTGTGTCTTACGATAGTTATTATTAATTCGTTTATGTATATTCATTTATTATTCGTTTATTAAGACCTAATTCGTTTCATACTTTCACTGAAAATCTTATGATAAAATCAGATTTGATTTTTGTCATCCTCTTTAAACTAGACATTCATTCTATGGTCTGATCTAATAATAGACTTAATAAAAATTTTAAATATAAAATCATGTTTCCAGCATCGCAATTACCTCATAAAAATACAAGTATTACCACCATGACACTACTTAATGCATAACAGTACATAATTAAGCAATAATTACTTCTTTGAAACTGTATCTTGTAGTCCCATCGAGTTTTATCGCTTATGCTTCAAGGTATTTTTATTGGCATGTAAAATTATTTAAATTGAATATAGAAAGCTTTTGGACATGTTCCTTTAATATGATTTAACGCAGAAATTCTGGCCAATTGATTTTTTTAAAGAGTTCTTTAAGGAAAGACTGCCTCGTTGGCCGAGTGCTCGCAAGTGCGAACGCCAGACAAGAGGTCTCGGGTTCGATTCCCGGGTCGGGTAAAGTATTACTGGTTTTTTTAAATCTCACTAGTAGCACGAAGTCTAGAATTGTGCCCGGTATAATGGCAATAGGCTCGCCCCTATTACATGGGGCTTATAACATAAATAGTGAAAAGTAGGTGGTACGTACAGTGGCATTAAGTGCCGTAATGTGTACCTCTGCCTACCCCTTCGGGTATAAAAGATGATGTATGTAAACTTTAAGGATATTTTTTGATCCAGCAGTAGATTTCTTCCACCTGTTGATAATTATGATGAAGGATATATTTTGAGCAGGCGAACTGCAAATAAGTTCCTGGGAGGGTTTTACTACCCTTACCAATATAAAAGACGGCTAATATTAACAGAGATAAACTAATTACCATTGACGTAGCACAAATTGTGCACTATATTGTCAAGTTTGCTCTAGTGTGTTCGCAAATATTTACAATTGCATTTTCACATTCCGTGGAAACGATGGCTCCTGTGAATTCTTGAGAAATTATAGTATAATGGTTGCTTTAGAAATTATAATTACTCAATATAATTAAATCAATATAATAAAATTAGTTCACTGAACATACTTATAGTAAAGAAGTAGAGCTAAGCTCGAAATTACTTATGAAAAGTCGAGACCGAACTGACAAGATTAGGAAACAAATTCCATGAACCAGTCTTCTTTAAGTCTGATAAGTCTGTTGATAATATCCATTCACTCCATATCTTCAGGAGAAAGTTATGGACCTTTACATGAGCAAAAATTGTTAAAGATCTTAAAGACTGATGCCCTAGTTTTTTCAAATTTACTCTTTGGTAGCGAGGTAGCGAGTCTGATATCTCGCGGTCGAGCCGGCCCATTCGTGCCAAAATATGGCTTTTCCACACTTAAAAAAACTGACAGACTGCCTCGTTGGCCGAGTGGTTGTAAGTGCAACTGCCAGACAAGAGGTCTCGGGTTCGATTCCCAGGTCGGGTAAAGTATAACTGTTTTTTTTTAATTCTCAACAGTAGCACGGAATCTGGAATTGTGCACGGTATAATGGCAATAGGCTCGCCCCCTATTACATGGGACTCATAACATAAAGAGTGAAAAGTGGGTGTTACATTGTACAATGGCATTAAGTGTACCTCTGCCTTTCGGGGATAAAAGGCGTGATGTTATTATGTGCCCGATGTATGAAAAAAACGCATAATCCTCTATTACATGTAAGAACATAAGTCAAAAGTGAGCACTGCATTTTATATGCGTATCTATTAACTCCTTCGTAGAATAAATACTATGTTATGTCCTTATTTTTGATTCTAGATTCATATCAATCATTACTATCTTAGACTTGGCCCAAAAACATCAAGATTAGTATATGTTTACCTCCTACTCTGACAAGGCGGTAAAAAATTAAAGCGTAATAAAACATAATTTAATTTGTTTCGCTCTTAATCAGGATGTTCATACAACTTGCAATCTGTGACAGTTATAAGTATTAGCAGAAGATCCACTTTCCCTAACTTTTTAATTTGTTGATCTGAGTCATTAGGTATCGTGGTGGCCCGGCGGTTTAAGACGACTGCTTCTCATGCATGAGGTTGAGGTTTCGAAACCTACCAATGATAAGTACCAATGTGACTTTTTCCGAATTAATGTACTTTTTTAGATTATTGAGACACAATTGACAAACGGTGAAGGAAAAACATCGCGAGGTAAAAACTTTTTTTTTCCCGCCCGGCTGGCGTGAGAGGGAGTGTCAGACTGTTACTGACTAAAAACCACCTCGTTCCTATTCCTGCACTTCAAGCCGGAGCCCCGGCAACCCTTTAAGTCTTCCGCATCGCGACGAAACCTGGGCTTATAATTTCTAATTATAAGTTTAAAATTGCCAACAATTAATGCTCTTACCTTATCTATATGAGAAGAGGCTGTGCTCAGCAGTAGGCACTTATAGACTGGTTATGTCGATGATGATGATGATGATAAGTCATTAGGTTCTCGATGACCGTGGAGGTGCCAAATATATACTCTAGTGATTTAAGTAGATTTTTACAACATAATGTCGGGTTTTTTAACTGGGGGTAAAAAACTAAGCTTTGACTGACATCGAATTCTGTGTAATGTAATAGAGGCCAATTGGAGGCCTATTACCATCTACAAGACACAATTCAGACCCTGTATTATTACTGAGATATTTTAAAAGTCCGTATTCATAAAAAACCTAGCCTTATATGGCAATCCCATTTCTGGCCAACAACAGACAGTTAGATAAACAAAGTATAAGTGAAACTTCTGCACCTTTCTTCTACACCGATGATAATGGCGCTAATGTTATTCGACGTTAGATCAATGATCTATAGATCGTGATCGATGACGCGTGCGCAGCTGTCAATAACCGTTAATACGACACTTGTTTTGATTTATTATACTCTATTTTTTGTTATTAATGATCTTGGAACGTTTTCTTGTTACAGATACAGATATGTGTCTTTTGGAAGTTCTGTTTTGTTTATTAGACATAATATCACGCCTTTTATCCCCGAAGGGGTAGGCAAAGGTGCACATTATGGCACTTTACAATGTAACACCCACTTTTCACTATTTATGTTATGAGTCCCATGTAATAGGGGGTGAGCCTATTGCCATATACCGGTCACAAGTCCAGACTACGTGCTACTACTGAGAATTTTTTTAAAACCCACTAATACTTTGCCCGACCCGGGAATCGAACCCGAGACCTCTTGCCCGGCAGTCGCACTTGCGACCACTCGGCCAACCTCCTTTATTAGAGTTACTGTAATCCACTGCATCCTTGTGATGCTATG